TACCCATCACCGTTATCCTAAAAAAAGACAAAAGAAATAAATGAACGATATTTTCGTTCTCTATAATTTCTTCTATTTGTTAAACAAAACTTTTTGTCGTGGAGGCATATGGGCGTTGTGGGTGCGTCTTTCGAAAAGTTCAAGTCAATTCCAAATTCTTTCGCAAATTTGTAGGCGATGTCTTCAATTTCGCTATGTTCGGAACAATGTTTACCGCAAATACTAGACAGTTGCGCAACCAGACATATAGACAGACAAACAGACGGACGTGGTTAGGTGTATTCCAAACTGGCCAAGAATTTGCAAATAATTTATAAAGTTTTTGAAGCTGTTGCTACGCATTATAAAGATATTCAGAAAACAATTAATGTTTGATACGATATAATTTTGGGTAGGCGTGTTTAATTTTTTCCATTTTTGTGGACAGGGTCGGTAGACAATGCGATCAAATATCTGTATTTGTATTTGCTTTAGTTTATGAGTAATAAGCAAGAAACCAATTTTCATTCATTTTCATTCGAAAAACGGAGGGGTTCACAGCTTACGTGGTGCTGTGGGTGTCTCCTTCGACCGATTTGGCCAATTTTTAATTTTCAATACCAACCTGCGTGCAAGGACTTTCAATGTTTCTGACAAATTTGAAGTAGTACAGAGAGGGACGGACGGACATGCTTAAATCGATTTAGAATATGTGCTGATCAAGAATGTATACACTTTATGGGAACTCTGCTGCCTCCTTCTGGGCGTTGTAAACGTTTTGAAAAAATTCATATACATCCCATCCTTTGGTAATGGGTATAACAAGTAAGAAAATTATAAAAGTCTTAGAAGGAATCCGGTGTAAATAACGATGCGAACAAATATTACGCCATCTCATAATAAAGATGCCATTACTTGATCTTAAAGGAAACAAACTTACAAGATTTTTTACTCGTTCCGGTAGCTAATTGTATCCATACTTAAAGCTTGCAGTCGATTGGAAATTTTTGATATTCTATATCAAGTTTTTGTAGTTAAGAAATTAAAATAACTGACGGAAGGTTAAAACTGCAAACAACATGCACAAGTTTCATATCGAGTAACTATATATATATCTATATATATAAATATATGTATATATAATAGTGTAATTGATGTGATGAATAATTAGGAGTTTCCATGTAATATTACAGGTAACGTGATGACGAATAAAGTGAAGTTACTTGTTTTCAGTGACGCATAAAATTGTGTTACTCTAGAGACTATGAAACTGAATTCAAAACAACTCACATAGCGATAGTCATGAGAAGAGCGTAACAACAACAAAGTTAAAAACAACGAAAGAATAAATAAAATACATATGTAGATATATACGGGAAAAATTAAAATGGATTCCGACGTTCACCAAGAACAGGTAACTCATACGTGTATGTTGGCAAACAGAGAAGCTGAAGACATAAGCACAAGAATGAATGAAGTCAGCTCAGCTGAAACAATTGTAAAGAATAATAAACAAGTAGATTCGGACCCATCCGATCCGAACCGTCACATCACATCATAGCATATCATCTCGAAAATTTGTATGCAGATGGTAAGAGAAACAGTATCTATAGCGGATCATACACCGACCATGAATGTTAAATACCAGGGGTATTTGTATCGGGTAGAGAGTTCGACAAAAACGATATGAAGTTTGTAGTTAATAAGATTGTCGACTTTAACAACTTATAATTGGATATTAGTTTAATATTTTACTGTTGTTATACTCTACACTACTTGCGGCACAGGGTATATTAAGTTTGTATAGAGGTATGTAATACCCACAAGGCGTTAAGATAGACTTATCTGTTATTATATTGATCGATTAAGAACGTTTAAGCACATCTGTCCGTCCGTCTACCTGTCAGGTGGCAAATTTGGGCAGAGTATATTAAGTCGGTGTGGACATATTTATTACGCGGAAGAGCTTAAGGGAAACGCATCTTTTATTACACAGAAGTCTGTCTGTCCGTCCGTCCGTGGGCCCAATCTTCTGGTCGAGATTTCGCAGACATTTTGACGAAGTTTGGTGCACCGACGTGCCTTGAGCATAGAACATACCTTATTGAAAATGTTTCGGATCGGTCGACCTTTTTGACCACTACTCATATAACTCCGTATTTTGAAAAGTCCTTATATGGAAAAAATTAACATTTTTCATAATATCTTGACAAAACTGGCTCTGTAATAGTATTTGGATCTTCAGAAAACGGTACGAAAAATTTGGTTGGGTTGGGACAATCTTTTGAATCCCCTCTCTTATAAACATTCTTAAGGAACTGAATGTTTTCACCGTGAAGAGGTGTAATTTTCAATATTTCAGGATCAAAATTAGTTCATAATAGTAAATTGACATAAAAATCAATCTTATCGAATTCAGACTACGTAGGAATATTTTTTAAATATTACGTATAAAAGTTTTCTCCAAAGTTTTCCCCTAATATGCGGGCTTGCATAAAAAGTATGTCTATGCATGAAAATGATGAGTAACTTATGGTGTATTGGTGAAGTGTTATAGGCTAACGAACAGTCGGACAAGGCCGACTGTAATGATCTTACTTGTTTTCTATTGAGTTTTTTACAAAATTGGATTTACGTATGTAAAAAATTCGACTACAGACGAATTTAGTTCTCTTAAATCAAAGCGCAGTAAGGATTTTAGCAAAGGCGCGAATCCCGACTAATGTGGACTTTCTTCACTTCGGAACAATTTTAGACGTTTTCATTCGATGCTTTAAGTTTAATCTTAAATTTTTCGTTTAAAAAATGCTGTAATCGAAACTCAACCAACGTGCAACAATTTTTCCCTCAAAGCTAATGGAAAAAAAAGGAAGATGCGCAAAAGTGCACAAATTATTTTTCATATTCATTCATCTTTTCATCTTTTAAGGCACGTTGGGTAAAATTCACTTTTCAACGCATGGATTCGCTCGCTGATTAACCCCGCACTTAGCATAAGTTTATGGCTAATAAGTTAGAAAATAAAGAGTTGCTAGGGGAAGTTAGCTGACGTACTTCGAATAGGATTGCTGATGATTATGCAGTATACAGCAGGGGTAGACCACGTTTTTCATCTAGGCCAAAATTTTGATTTTCATATCCCTGTGGGGCCCACAACTGTGACTATGATTGCTGTTCTGCATCAATTTTTCTTCTTTTTCAATCGTTCATTTTATGGACTGATGCACAAAAAGAAAAATTACTTAAACACTTTTCACATTTGATGGCTGCACAGCTCAGCGGGTAGTAAAGGCAGATGCAATCCATTCGCAGTATTGCTATGTGCGAGCAAATTTAATTATTTGAAATTTTAAACGCAGTAATGTATATATATAATATCGTACCATATAGTATCGTATCATACTGTATCGTATCATAACGTATTGTATGCTATGTTAACATATCGTATCGTATTGTATCACCACTGGCCGATGGTTGCCTATCCCTCCGTCTTGCCAAAGCAAGTTGTAGAAGTGTTAAAATGATTGCTTTACTGTTATTATAACTTTTTTTTTTTTTTTCTTTTTTTTTCAATTTAGGAAACTTGGTATCTTTGTTAAACATATTCTTTGCTCTAACAGCAATATGTAGTAAGGTATGAGATAGGTATAAGATATGATCAATTTGAACACAAATTTTTTGTAGTTTTTGTTATTTATCACTGTTCTTTTCATATCTTCTGATACCATAGTCTTTGCAGACTTGGAAATGATGCGCAACAGTTCGATTATTTAACATGCACAACGCTATCAAATAGATAACTATGTGAATAGCATATCTTTCTTTAGAGTATATTAACAAAGTGGAAAACATGATATATGTATAAATGTGTTATGAATGAGCAGTGGTTTTTTATGCGCATCACTATCAAAAGAAGAAGTTTATTAAGTTTATTACTCCGTTTTGAGAATGGAACGAGGAAAGGGAAGACATTACAAAGAGTTTATATTTATATATCTACGCTCGAAATTTCCAAAGCCATTTAACTTGTCTTTCTGCTTTGCGGCAGCTTAAATTTAGGCGGACTAAGTGAAACCTTAGATTCACAGGTTAATATTTATGATTGGCACAGATTAAGATTATGATAGCTGCTAAAAATTTGTAATCGAAACCTACAGATCTCTGATTTCAGGATAGTGTCTTCCTTCGAACGATACATGTCAAGATATCAAGAGATTGCGACCATTAGCTTACGAGTTACATTAGCTTTGGTGACACTACTTTTCTTCTTTTGAAAACAATGGGAAATTCTGAATATCCTTAGTTGACTAAACCCTGCTTCTCGATAAGGAAAAATATCCTTAGTAATCACCATTGGCTTATGAGAGCTTATGGTGATACACTTCTCTGTCGAAAAAAATAAATTTATAGATGGTCGGTTTCCGTATGGCTCTGTGCGCAGTGGATACTTCGTATACTCAACAACGTATTGATGACTCACAGTGCTATTCGGTATTGTTTAGGCGAAATAAGAAGTGTTGCTATAAATAGGTGGCAGACCGGAGACTTATTAAGTGATGTGACATTTATCGTATACGAAAAGGGTTACAACATAATTGAATTGAACCCATTTGAACATACGACATACAACTTTGAGGTAAGCGAAGCAACATTGAAATTCTTCACCTGCTACCAATCTGAACTTGTTCTCAGTAGGTTTACTGGATAAGAATGAAATGACAAATAGACTGAAAGGATATCATACTGTAGATCTGCCATTTAGAAAATAAATATAGGTGGGTAGTTAGGTGTGTATGGAAGTAAATATGTACATTTTGTTAAATTCCCATGAGGTTAAAATAATTTTCCCATGTATTTAAGGATAACCATATGAATTATGAAAATTTTGCTAAGATCGGCCGATTTGCTCATTATTGAGAAAGAGATTGCAAAGACATGTACATATGAAAAGGAAGAGAAAATAATTTTTTTTGGAAAAAATTATTTTTTTTTTTTTAGTAATAAGCTTACTTTACACTTACCTGGCATCGTTAAAATTCTCTAAATTGTCCCTGTTTTCAATGATATGCGACAACAAGCTAAAGGTGTCCGTATGATTTATTTCTCGTAATCGACTTGCATTAATTAGCGAATATAAGTGAAAACGTTTAACTGATAATATCGTACAATTTATTAAAAGATTTGTATCCACATTCTCCGACATTCTTTGTTTTTGCTTTAGGTTTAGTGATTTACTTGGATGAATTTCTTTTAAATAAACGCATTTGAGAAAAAAGAAGAAGAAGAAGAAGAAGAAAACACAGGAACATTAAACTACTTTCGTTTCTCAACAACAATTGTTTTACAAACTATTGTTTCGGGAGAACATTAAAAGTTTTTCGTTTTAAGCTAAAATACCATTTGTTTTGCACGAAAATTATTCACATCTATATATACATACATACACAGGCAATTTACACATTTGCAATTTGTTTTCTGTACTTTCTGTATTGTTTTAATTTTTTATTGCCTTGTTTTTCTTCAATATTTAAAAGACGAGTAACTGACTAAATTTTTTTAGTAAAATTTTTTAGAGCTTTTTTTTATTATGAAATGATGGCTTAATCGCTTTGTTTAGAAAGATTTGAAAATATTGCTTCTTGATTAATGCGGATTAAAATTGCGTAATATTTTATAAATTAAGACCATAGATATGTTTGTGTGATTGATTAAAAAAAAAAAAAAAATTTTGTTGATGAAAATTCGCTTTATTTCAATGGGCAAGTATGGCCCATAATAAGAGAAATTTCGAAAAGTAATAAAACAAAAAAAAGTGAAAGTACTATAGCATACTAAGGCCCATCTTTAAATATCCAACAAATACCTATGCAACGACTTTTCAATAAAAGATGACATTTAGGAAGTTGTCGAAATAGTGGTCCAATTTGAAACATTTTCATTGACCTTCCTCCTCCTTTGGCCAAAACAAGTTAGTGCATTAAATTTCATCAAACTGTATCAAAAACTGCAACCTATAGGTTGAACACAGAAGACAGACAGAGGGACATCTCAAATAGATTCAGGATTTGAGTTAATCGCCGTAGTAAGTCGTTGTGTGTGTTGCATACATCCGCCTATCTTAAGTCGTTGTGTGTGTTGCATACATCCGCGCAAACCTTTATTATGCCCTGAAGGTGATTCTGAATCGATTTAAGCTTGTTTGTCCGTCTCAGAGTTTTGTTCATTCCGTAGATCGTAATTTCTGAGATATATTAATGAAATTTGGTACATGGACATGTTTTAGCCCAAGAACGAACGCTATTAAAAGATCCATTATTTCGAACACTTCCCTTACATCGCCTTATAGAAAAATGTATCAAATACTTAAATTTTTTTTTTTTATTATTGAGACCATATTTTGTGCCTTTTTATACCCTAGACCACTTGTGGTACAGGATATATTAAGTTTGTGCGGACGTATGTAACATTTATAAAGTCTTTAGATAGATCAACCGATCATTTCGGAATCATTTTCTAAAGCGGTCTAAGTCTGTCTGCCCGTCTGTCCGTCTGTTCATGTACTTTTGTATTCAATCTGCAGATCGATATTTTTTTTGATATCTAGATGAAATCAGGTACACAGATGTACAGACGTACGAACACTGCTGAAAATGGTACGGATTGTTCCACTTTTTTGACCTTTCCCCATACAAAGCCCTATTCTGATGCTTGATATGAGCAAAAACAGCAATTTTGAAAATTTATCGGAAAAAGTGGCTAACTAATAGTATCTCGGCATTCTAAATTGGTATGAAAATTTTGGACCGACCTCCTTCTCTAATACAAATGTTCCTACGGAATGCTTAATTTTAATATATTATGATGAAAACTAATTGATAGTAGCTTTTCGGCAAAAAAATTAACGGTAGGGAATTTGGATCGCATAGGTGCATTATTTTTTTGTACCCTAACACATATACGGACCATCACGAACTATCACAAACGTTTATATGGAGAGAAAGCCGAACCTTTTAATATGCGGACTTTCACGACGATTACGGCTTTGCGTGAGAGTAACGTGTCATTTTTGGTAAATTATTACCAAAACGAGTAAATAGCTGCACCAGGCGAAGTAATGTAGGATATGTAATAGTCAGTAGTGGCCGGCTGTAGTGTTCCAACTTGCTTTTTTTTTTTTTAAGAAAACCGAGATACGGTGCTGTGAGGATTACCGTCACTATAGCTTCTTGTGTGGCCACTTAAAGTCATAGAACTGCAATCCCGCTTCTTCGGTGGGCACTTCTAATTGTCAAACTAGGATGTCGCGTCTTTATTGCCATATTGTTCACAATGAAGATCTATTTCAGCTATAAAAACTATGGGAAAAGTAAGCGAATTGATTGAAGCGTACGCATAATTGTTCTGTAATATTTTCATTCGTCATGTATTAACGTCATACATTAATTCTTTTTGTATTGGCTAACGACATATTTATTGATTGTTAACCACAAAATGGTTTAGAATATTCATTATTTTGCTTAGGTTAGGTACTGTATATTCTAAAACCGCGTGGGCGTGCGCAAAGGCAATGCGTTCGCGATTGATTAAATTCATAAAAATATACCATTTATCGTCTACCACATCAGCAAACGGAGTCGGATCCCCCGGGGCTTTGTTACCACTACATTACATGGTTGCTTTATAAAAATTTTTTCTATTTATCTATAAATTTATAGCCACCGCGACTGAGCGAAGGGTGAGGGCTGTATTAGTTTCGCCCAAAATGTTTGTAACTTCCAGAAGCAAGTTTCAGCGATCCTGGACAGTAGTGCTTAATCAGCATTAAATTCTAAGCCGATATAAGCATGTCCGTCAGTCTGTGTGATGTCTGCTGTAGACATTCCTCTGGTCGCCAAGCTTTCTACTGCGAATTGGGCAGCAACCTTGGAAATTCTCGCATGGAGGTTGGCAATGAAAATGTATTAAATCGGCCAGAGCATATGCCCACATTACAAGATAACCTGAGACCAGGCTTGTTTTCAAATATGAGAAATGCTGCGATAAACATTTGCTGAACATTCTACGGGTGATGGTGCATGGAAAGGGAGCTTAGGTTTTTCTCTTTCTGAGTCTACTTAAAATAATGATGATGGGTGTAAAAGATTCGGTCGCAGTGGAATATAATTTTCTTTTATTTGTTAAGATTTATTTTTATTTCTCTTTTCTACCTTTTTTTAAACTTATTTTGGTTTAGTTGACTTTACAACTTTTTTTTTTTTTTTGGTTTACTTGACTATGATTTTCTGTTCTTACGTGCTTTTAATTAAGTTTAATTGCATGCTTGTTATCCTGATAGAAGAAATTTTAGAGAAACAAATAAACGAGTTTTGCTTATAGAATTTCAATTTATTTTTGTTAAATATTTTTATTTAAAATTCGGTTTGATTGTATTTCAATTTTAAATTCAATTTAAAAATTTTTATTATTTAAACTTATATTTTTATTTTTTTTGGAAAATTTTAACAATTTTTCCAATATGATTTTTTTATATATATTTTATATAAATATATTTAACACCGTATACATATAATTTATTTTTATGTTTATATATACATGTATGTATATGTTTGTTGATGTCCTGTTTTGTGTATATGTATATACAAATATATATTTTGTTTTTTAATTCTATTGTAGATATTAACTGATAGATATTCGTTGAAGTTTCTCCTTTAAGTTTTTTATCTTCTATTTTTTCTTTATTATTTATTTATTCCTTATCATTTCTTTCTCTCGTTTTCAACTAAACACTTTAAAGTCCTGCTACGAACTGATTCGCTTTCTTTAATATCATTCATTCATAACTTGTTTACTTTGTTGTGCCGTTACGCTGCTGTTATCGTTTATGGTATGTTATGCGTACAGACAACCTGTTGATGAATAATGTTCTGTTATTTTCTCTTATCAAGGATTTCAGTTTCTCTTTATATGTTTTCCTTTGTTGAAATATAAATGCAGTTCCCTAACTCTAGGTCGGATAATACAACACTTATTTTCGTGATAAAATATCTTTCCATGTGAAGGCGAAAATTTTATATGTCGTCCTGCCATCCATCACTTGACGTAGTAGTTATATTAACTTTGTGATGACGCATGTAAGATTCATCCCTTTATTATACCGGCCGATTCAGAATTATGCTTAAGCTACTCTGTCCATGTGTCCGTCCGATGTTTGTCCACGTAAGATTTTTAAGATATTTTGATGAATTTTTGATACAATAATGTGTTTTCACTCCAGGACGAAAGTTATTCAAAATAGTTGCAATTTGCAAAGTTTTTCTACAAAAGTCGCTGAACAATAGTATTCTAAATAGGTATGAAAAATCTGGTTCGGCAGGGGTAATTTTTGCACTTTTCATAAAATCATTCCTACGAAAACTCAATCTTTGCATCATAAAAAAATCTAATTTTCAATATTTCACGGCGAGAGTTTGTTCCCTCTCCAGGAAGGTGTTTCGATTATCTTCCAAAATGCGGCTCTCATGAAAATAATGAGTAATTTTTGATGTGTTATTATCAAAACGAGCGAATATCTGTACTAGATGAAGCGATGTAGGGTAACGGGCCTTGACCGGCTATAACGTTCTTACTTGTTTTTTTTTTTTCTTTATGGACCAATCATAAAACTTCTAAGGCTAACAAAATCAACAGCTTCTAGCCTAACCAGTGATAGATTCCGTTCATGATTTTTCACGCAAATTTAATGCAATATAAGAGGACTACAATAGCGATTGTTTTTTTTTTTTTTTTTTGCTCTAAGTTATGCGCATAATACATTAACCTGTTTACGCTATAAATTCTCTTGAATAGAAGAGTTTGAAAAATGTATTTATATAACACTTGAAAAAAACAAAAAAAAAAATTTTTCAGCCTAAAGCTTATGTGATCTACGAACGTCTAGTGCGCTTTAACATTCAACCTGGAAAAATGAGGTGACCATGTACGCGAAAGATAGCACTGAAGAAAGCCAGCAAAAGCAAAAGCGCAAAATAATGTCATACGATGAAAAGTAAAAAATAAGTGGAAATATTTTTTTAATGCAAAACTAGTAGAAGTAAAGATCAAATGTTCATATCAGTCTATATAATTATTGATATGTGTGCTTGCTTAACTATCAACTCTTTCATCTTCAGCCGTAGATTCTCTCATCTCTATATGGTCATATGCTTACGACAATGGTCGTATGCTAAGCATAACTTTATAGCTAGGAACCATTCCCAACGATCGGGTCGATTGTATGTGTATGTATACATATTAATCTATGTATGTTTATATGTTTATATATATTTATATATATATATCTGTAACGGCCTATTGTTGTATATATCTATACATTCTCTTTCTTAAGCTGCGGTTTTTTAGCATGAAATAATATAAAGGCAATTAGATACTAAAGTTTACACGGCGATCCTGCCATTTTAAACCTACTGTTAACACAAAAACTTATTTAATTATACTTGCGCGAGAACGGATTTATTAGAAAATTTGTAGATGGAAACCTCTACAGTTAAAAGCCTGTTCTCTGCGATTTCTCAGAAGCAATAACTTTCATAGAGGGCTGAATAGGCATCGAGCGACTTGAAAGGTGCAAACCATACGAGTATTCTTGACTTACTCTTCTGTAGCAATCCGTCTGGCAATAGGCCGAAATCTAGATCAAGTAATGCACGTTTGGAAATTTATCACTTTAGGTTGTCTGTACAGACTAATCAACATATTCGTGCACGTAAATACTGTACCATTCGTTTTCAGAGTGTTACGAAATGATGTGAATCCAAAAGAAGTTTAAATTTGAAGCCGTAAGCTGGTGACAAGAGGATTTATTTGTATAGAAATTAAATTTACAAAATTAATCTTTACACATTACAATTGAAGCATGTCTTACGCCTTCATTGCTGACATAGACGATGAGTCAACATTGGTAGACGTAAATGCTTATATAATACGTTAAATAGAGTAGTCAGAGTTGTATTTTTATCAGCCTATAAGCAGTTATGGCAGAGTTGCAAAACGTTTTTTCAATTATTTGAAAATTTGGACATGTATCATTGTAGATGTCATGGCATTCGTTAAATTGAGGTAAACCTTACAAAATATTCTTAATCAGTTTTCGGATATCATAACCAATTTTAAAATAAATTGACTGTCAGTTTTTGGATGACACTGAAATTCGAACAGTCCACGAAAGTCTTAACCCTATAACATTGTACTGCAGTGTACTACGCGTTACTTTGTAGTACTTTCCAGCGGGGGGAAAGTCTTATGCATTGATGTTCGATTTAAACAGTTCACGTCTTTTTCTAACTATAACTTTAATCATCATTTTTATAGCTCTGTTAAAAAGTCTCTTTAAAAAGCAATATTTTTAATAAGCAGCATAAAAGTTTGGTATTATTAAACACCACTATATAATACTGTCCTCGAGAGAAAACAATGGCCATCTTACGACTACGATATGTTGTGGTTGTGCGGACATGGGATATTTTAAGCAGAGCGTTAGCAAGCAATAATAAATATGTTACGAAAAAAATAAAAATTGTGATTTTAGTTGAAAACAAACCATTGAAAGTGTTTGCTACCAAATAGTCCCCACGACAGCAACACCTGTTTCATTTAAAATTTATTTAATACTGTCGATATTAATTTTCACAAATTTTGAAGAATGGTTCTTATTTTAATTAAACCTTTTCTTTTTTTAATGTATATTTTTAACTTCTTAAAACTACGCTCAAAACATTTTTGTTCTTCAAGGAAAAGCAGAAAGCCATTACGTTTTCGTTGGACAAATCTTTAATGCCCATAATATTTAACACATGATATAATACATGAGTATAGAAAGACATTCCGTTAGATGTGAATGTACATTTGAACAATCGCACTTTTTAATGCCCCTTAGAAAGTGTTTGTACCAGATTTAAAATGCGTAAGTTACAACGTTGTGCTTATCTTGGGGAGGGGGGCTTGCAAAAGAATCCTTTTTTATTTTTATATGTATACTCCTTCTATTGTCTGGGCTAAGTTTCAATTAAACATAGGCATAGTTTGTAGTTTTCGTCGACTGATAGCGATTGAAGCAGCGTATTATATTTATGTTTTACCTTATATCTGTGTATACTTTTACTCAAAGGATGCCCTTTACTGCTGTAACACGATGACAATCAGAAAGAAGCAGCGCATGTGTGTCGAATCGATAAACGTTATGCATTTGTCGCCTGAACAATGACTATAGGTGGTAGTAAACTAAACTTTACAACACTTGAAATCTGAACCCGCGAGTACTGACTTGGTAATCGCGATTTTAGTTCTCTAGCTTAGTTAATTGGGCTGCATGGAGAATGGAAAAACAAAAAGCAAATTGCACAAAACAAAAACAAGACTTAAGCGATTAAAAAAGCTATTCTCGTTGAGAATATGCACTGCTAAATCCTACAAAGGGACGGACCCTATACCCCAAAGTATGCCCAATATCCAATAGCATACCTAATGGTATACTTAATAACATACTTAGTACTATACTTGACAGCATACACTTAATAGTATACTCAATAGAGTACTTAATGGTATACTCAATGGCATACTCAATACTAATCGTAATAGTCTATGTAACAGTATAGTCAATAGTATTTATAGTTAACGATATAGTTAATAGTATGATGAACCGCATATTCAATGGTATATTTAATAGCATACTCAACACTATACTCAATAGTATACTTAATAGCATACTCAATAGTGTACGGAATATTACGATTAGTAGCTTAATAGTGTACGTAATAGTGTACTTAATACTCTACTTAACAGTACACGTAATAGTATACTTAACAGTACACTCAATGGTACACGCAATAGTATACTAAATAGCATACTCACTAATATGTGCAAAATTTTAAGCAATAGCATACTCAATGGTATAGGCAATAGTGAACTCAATAGCATATTCAATAGTATATGCAATAGTATAACCAATAGTATACTCAATGCTACACGCAGTAGTATACTCAATGGCATAGGCAATAGCACACTCATTAATATGTGCAATATTATAAGCAGTAGCGGACTCAATGGTATAGGCAATAGTGTACTCAATAGCATATTCAATAGTATATGCAATAGTATAACCAATAGTATTCTCAATGGTATACGCAATAGTATACTTAATGACATAGGCAATAGTATATTCAATAGAAATACTACCAAGCACTTCAAAATCATCAAAGTTGATGATTATAATGACAGTCTTTAAAAAACTGGGCAAAAACTGTAAACTAGACTGTATTCTTTTTCAACTGATTTACTTAATATAAAACTTTAAAATATCTTCTTATTTCTATAAAAAATATTTTAAAATGGACCACATATTGCATATGCATTAAACAGTAACAAGAAAAAGCGAACAGTATTGCTTATCATTTGTGCGAACTGCTCTGCACCACAGCGTCAATCACAACTAAGAGTTAAGCTTAAAAAAAAATAAGTGAGAATTTCAACTGCATGAACGTACATTTTCGGAAGCACTAATTATCGCATACAAACCCTTATTAGATAACGTAAAAGCTTCATGGCGTTTTATCACCACAATTTTAACATATTTTCCTCTTATTGTTCGCAACGCTAACGCTCATGTCAGCGTATAGCTATGTGTCTTTTACAAACTTAGTTTTATTCATGGAATTTTTCATTTAGTATTTGATATTTTTTGGTTACTGATTTTAATTGTTCAGACGATTCTTAGCTGGTATAAAATGCTCAAGGTGAGCAATCGCAATGAAATACGGGGAATAATAACAAGCAAAAGTTAAATATGCAACTTTCTAAAGTTTGTTACATTTGTAATTCGCAATTCGTGTACTTCCCAATATATTCATAATTAATGGATCTTGTGATGTTGTGCCATTTTGGGTGCTTATCTTTCGCCTTTTCTGCAGAGAAACATTTTTGCTGTCACTGTAAAACTTCTGGGGTTTCTAGCCAAAGAACTGAATCAACACATATTCAACAGTCTGTTTATGAAGTCCTCCTTAGAGAGAGATAGCGAGAGAGAGATAGCGAGAGAGATAGCGTGAGAGATAGCGTGAGAGAGAGAGAGATAGGGAGAGGAGAGAGAGATTTCTACAAAAAGCGAAAGAGTAGTATTGGAATGAAGCAAAGTTTCGACTGTGCAGTGAATGTATGAAAATTTGCCGAACTGCTAAGCTGTCAAATCATAAGAGCTGAGATCGAAGGTGAAAATTTTTCTGTTGATTAGTTCTGGATGTACTTTAATTGTGTATTAGTTTCAATAGTAGATTTCATTTCACCACACGAGACTAGACCATGCTGCATAATTCTCTTTTAAATCGAAGAAAAACAAAGCAGTGTTTTACAAAGCGTCAGACTAGCCTTTACCATCGTGTACGCAGGTTTATTGACGTACTTGATGTACCTTGCATTGTTTCTATCAGTTTCTTCGATTGTGGACAAATTCGTTTTGTCTGATACTGATCGCTGTCAGTTCACATTCGTAGTAAAACATGGTTCGTAATCAGGCTTTAGTAAATGATTCCAACAAGAGAGAACTTCATTATAAGATAAAATGTTCTCGTCTTCTTTTATTTCGTCCACATTATCAATAATTGATTAACTGTCTTTAACCTCAAAAGTACGAAAGTTTGTTAATTTATGGAATTTTTTCAAAAGCTCCTTCGAGAGTAACCGTCTTGGCGAATTCTTTCAGAATTTTAGAAAATTTTTTAATGTTAGGGGAGTGTAGTTGCCTTAGTCAAGAAGAAGAAGTAAAGAGAAGTAATTCGAAGCGTTTTCTTTAAGATGTCTCAGTGCGACTTAATACGGGATGAACCTTATTGTGATAGCAAAGCCACAATACTGTGAAATTAGCTGTTAGGAGAAATGTTACGTAATGTTTCCCTTACTCTGTTTTGTAAGTAAAGTAGGCCCAAAAATGATCGTATTCGACGCAAAGTATGCATACATCACAGTACTATTTTTTACCGCCTTTTGTCGAGAAATGTTAAAAATGTAACCCTTTTTTCGTGTAACAATTTTTTCCAAACACGACTACAGCCAATGTATTTCCTAAAGAGTTCATTGCTAAGGAAAACCATGTCCATGTATCCCATTTTATTATGTTATCTCGAGAATTTGCAACTTTTAAAAAATTCGTGTCCAGATACCGGGTAGATTTTATCTACTTTATACTGTGAGTAATGTAAAGTACAAAGAAGAATTTGTGAAAAAATATTTTCATAAAAATAAAATAAACGAATATATGGATGACATATTTCACTAAAAGCAAACAAAAGAAAAAAAAAAAAAAAAAACAAAAATAATAATAACAATAATAATGGTAATAATTGTTCTCTCCACTTCACTGCCAACTTGCTTTCGTTATGGCTAAATCAGCAGGGGTTGTCAGATCCCAGAGATTGTCAGAATATGCATTAAGGCAAGTAAACTCTGCAAATGTGTATAATTGACGCTTGAAATTGTGCTGTAACAAGCATTTCATATGAAATTGTTTTAATCGTGGCATGTACGTTATGTGTTTAACTTTTTCCCACATGAAAAGTTTTAGCAAAGCAATTGTGCAGATAAAGTACAAATGTTAATACTATACAGGTAAACTGGTAGGAAAAATAAAAAGAAAAAATTATATTCTTCTTGATGCGAATCAATTAACATAAACCGGTAGTTGGCATCACGTAGTCAGGATGATTTGAATTCGTATCAGTATAGTCGAATACGATCCACCATTAGATACGCTAAACAATGCACTGCGTTTTACGCAGTTATTCGTATACCGAAAAAGACTTTATGTTCGAAGCGATGGAAAATTTGATCCGATCTGAGCAATTTTCGAAAGCGCATGTCCTTGGGCTAAAAAGCGTTCATGTTCCAATTTTCATCAAACTATCTTAAAAATTGCTTAGGTTAATCATGAGAAAGCAAGATGAACGGACGGACAAATGAACAGGAAAAGCTGGGTCTATCGCAATTCCTGTTCGGTGTTGCATTCATCCACACAAACATATCCTTGCAGCATAAGTAAAGTGTAGGGTTTAACAAACAAATAAATAAATAAATAAGTTTCTCATATTCTGCTTGTCTTCTGATTACAATTCTTTGGTGATGAATCTTTAATACGATTTAACTGCGTCTTGAATTTAATCTGACGAGAGTAGTAAGGAAAAAAAAAGTAAGGATAGAATTTATTTGTAACTGAATAAAAGTGTGAGGTTATAACAATGAGTTGAATGGACGGAATGTACGGACAAACAGACATGATTACATATTAAACAGCCGCAGAGACATCCAAACCATTCTTGCAGTGATCATAATGAAGAAGAATAACAAAATTTTGTAAGTAAATCTACGGGCGATTCTCGAAATTGGTATCGACCTAGTTTCTGTCAGTTAACAGCTATTATTACTTCTGGTACTATGACTTCTTTCCCAAAGATAGGTTTTAAATTTTTCCTTGTACTTTTTTGACTGAATGGTCTCTCATGTTTCTTTCGACATGTTTAACCGTACACATCTATTCGTTTCGTCATAATTTGAGACCATAAAACTTCGCTTAGAATTATCGACTAATTTCATACATCAAGTTACGCAAGTTACTTATGCTTACGTAACCTATCACGTTTACAGTACTTTCATACAATATGTAAGAGAAACGAGAAAGGCTGCTAGTAGCTATATCAAGTATGCTATTGTCATAAACATAAAGGAAAGCAAAAATCGTGTGGCACAAGCTCTGTCACGCCATTCGTGCAATGGTAATTAGGTAAACAATTACCTAGATAATTAGGAGAAAACATTGTGCTACTCTTTAAGGCAATCGAATATAATTATATTTCAGAAATGGAAATTCGGAAAAAATTCGTTTTATGTTAGAAGTTATCACAGAAGCTTATAGAGAAGCTAAGAAAGTAGAAGATCTTCTCAGACCAGATTGACTTCAATGTGCCGCTAAGTGCATCAAAATATCATGGGCGCAATAGCTTACCGCAAAGCTGTTTAAATTACATGCTCTATTCGCCTTTGCGGGTCATAAGTGCAATGATTGATATCATAAGGTCCCCTTAGCGGAGAGCGATGAAGTTGTTAAAAGAAAACTTCTCAGGAACAGGAAAGACTACATTCATTCGAATCTTAGCCGGTAATCTACAATCAGACGATGACGTTGAATTTTCAATATCTCTTATAAGGTTCAAAATACATGAGACGCTTACTTGTATTCACAATTTTGCTCTTTGCAGAACTCTCTGTCCGAAGCTGGCTTCAAGAGAAGGGTGTGAAAAATAATTCGAATTTAACCACCAAAGACATCTATCATATTTCTTAACAGATATCTGTAAACGCCAGTGGAGAACAATTTAATAGACTATGTTGGAAAGTTATATGATGATAATTGAACGTTCCAACAAGGCATCGGTCCCATTTATGTCGTACAGACATGTAGAGAGTTATTGCAATCGCACAATATACCGTCACCCATGAGTTCTGAACTGAACCCGATTGAGGACTTCTGGCGAATACTTTCCATCAAGATGTTCTTAAAGTGTGAGCAGTATTAAGAAAGTATTAAGAATTATTGTCGGAGGAGGAGATGATTGATATCACCGCTTTAAGGTGTTTGATGCGGTCTATGCCGCCGAGATTACGACATTTCCTTATTCATAAGGACAACACAATCGAAATTAAACTTAAGCTTAATTTTTGCACATGTAATTATTTTCTATTGAGTATATATTGACTATGTTTTTTTCTGGTATAAAAGATAAATTAGAAAAAGAAAAAAAAGCAAAGCAAAAAACATAACAAAAAAAAAAAATTTTTTTTTTGCTCTTTGAACTAACATTCAGAATAATGCATTGCATATAAAACTATTTGATTAGCATATGAATAACTGTATTAAACGTGCGGGAGTATTTAATAGTGGGCCGCTTTCCATTATAGTTTCAAATAATTTACGCAATTTTTATTAAGTGTATGCTAGAATTATTGTAATAGTTTTTCAACCACTAATGACGAAATGCATGATAAACTCTTCTATATATCCTTCATGCCTTTTTCAAATACCAACTAGATTTTTGTATTAGGCAAAGGCCATTCTGGTTATTATGTTTTCACATCATGAAAATATTAATTATTTTCAATTATATATTCGTTCCAATTAGCCAGATTTATGTTTCCATTTACCGGTGAAAAGCTATTATACTATGAATAATTATCGTATTTTCA